GCTACACATTGGGGGTGGTGGAGCAACAAGAGCTGGTGGCCTCCCTGTCCATTCTGGACAGCTAATGGTCCAGGTGTAGTAGAAAGAGAAATACTTTCTACAGTCCTGCTCTGACAACTGTCAGGCAAGTCCCAAAGAAAACAAATGTTTAGCTACAATTTAACAAGTGCTTAATACTGCAGCACATCAGTCCGCTTTTAGTGGGTTGTGCTGCAGTAACAAGCCATCCTATCTCATGATCATTGTGGGTTGACTGGGCTCCTCCCTAAGGCTTGTGCTCTGCACAATGGTGCTGTTTTCCTAAGTTACAGTGAAGGGGATGTGTACAGATATTCACAGCAATACGCCATTACTATTATGCTGTTAATGTAGCCGGCAGGGGTTCCTGTGGGGACCTGTGGTCCCCCAGAGTGCCACACTGTAGGCACTCACAGACCACCGAGGGAGGGGCAGATCTCCACCAGGGACCCTCCAGTTTCCGCCCCTTGGGAGACACAGGTGTTGACGCTGTGTGCATGGTGGCAGGCAATGCCGATTGGCACATTTTTTTTTTTTTGGGTCCGGTTGTGGGGCCTGAACTCTGGGCCTGGGCGCTGTCCCTCAGCTCTTCAGCTCAAGGCTAGCACTCTACCACTTGAGCCACAGCCCGATTGGCACATTTTTAGATCAGCGGCGCTACTCCAAGTCCTTGGCAGACTAACTCAGGAGGTCCAACCTGCTTTCCCCCAAGGCCTCCTCATAGGGACCAACTACCCCTCCCAGGCTTTGAAGAGAATTTATATTTCCAGCCCTTATTTCTTTGGAGTTTCCAAGGCTGTCTCCTCCCATTATTCCTAGTTGGATGAGAGAAACATTCCCAGTCCAAGCCGACCCCATTGGAAGTAGTTAAGAATTTGAGAAAGGGTGCGGAGAGGAGGAAGAACCGCAGAGCTGAGTTAAAGGTGGCTGGGGCTCACCGAGCACTAGTGAGGAGCTCAGTGAGCTCCCGTGATCCTCTGCGCCAGGTGGTCTGAAGGCAATCCATGACGAGAGCTGACTGAAGTTATCTGAGCACAGCTCTCCTGGGACTCCCTTGCTCAGCCCTGGCCCCTAGCAGTCAACTCAGAGGAGGTGGCCGAAGACAATTCCTGGCCTCAGTGTCACATTTTCTAGGTGAGGTAACTGCTGTGCACCTCCACAGCACGGCTGGGCCAGGAGTTTGCAAGGGGGTCCCAAATCTACAGAAGGGAAGGAGGGCAGGGCCTGTCCGTGCCAGGACTGGGGTTTGAACTGGTTCTGATTCTGGCTCTGCTGTGACCACAAGCAGCCTGGATCCCCTTGGAGGCTCAGTTTCCTCAGGCAGCTCAGCGAGATGGTGACCGGTTTGCCCAAGGGCACATGAGGAAAGCTGGACGGACCGCGTCCTCCATGAGCACCCCTGTCTCATCCCAGCTTTCCTAGGCTCTCCTGCCTTTTCTTCTCTGGGCTTTAGAGTGAAGTGAGGCTTTGCCAGAAGCCTGGAAACCTCACTGTGCAGCACAGAGCTTCCATGGAGTGGGAGATGGACCTCTCCTCTCTAAGGCCCCGAGTCCAGTGGACTTGTAGCTGTGAGGCTTGAAGCCCAGCTCTGTCCTGAAGCCCTGCTCTTCCCAGCTGCGTCACCCTGGGCAAGTCTCTGCCCTTGTAAAATGGAGCACTAGGACTGGGGGTGCATTGAACCCACACACTCATCTGCCCGTGATGGCCGCGTGACAGGGGCAGGCGCATGGAGAAGGGCTGTCACTCGCTCAGGGCCACCCGGGAAGGACGGAAGGGCACCACCGGCGCTGGGCACCATGGCCCGCTCCCAGGACGGCGCTGAGCTCCTCGCTGAGCTCTCAGGCCTCACGGGATGGGCGTGTAGCGCCACATGGCCGCTGGCCACGGCACGAGCTTCTCCTGGGCCTCGGGACATCCTAGGCTCTCAGGCCGAGATGAATCCTGGGTCCTGCTGAATTCCCACCGCCAAGGGTCGAGCCGTGGCTGCAGGGCCATCGGGTCAGGTCTCGGCCCCCACTCTGTCCCCCCCGAGACACCTCTCCCAGGCCTCCCCTAGGCCGGATGTGAAGAGGGTGCGGTCCACAGAGGCCAGCGCGGTTTGGGAGGACCTAGCCCCCCTGGGGGCCGGGGGGGGGGGCCTCACCGGGCCCAGGGCCCAGGGCTGCCCCTCCGCAGGGCGCAGACACTCAGCCTGCGGGATTAGGGGGCTCCATTCACTGAGCTGGGGCCGAGGTCTGGGGTTCCCCAACACCCCGGGAAGGCTGCGAGGCTGGGGGGCGGGGGGAGATGGGGGAAGCTGGAGGAGCCGGTGGTCAAGGCGCCATGCGGAGGTGCTGTCAGACAGGCCTGGTGGCTGCCCAGCCTGTGCCCCCCCCCGCCTGTGCCCCCCAGCCTGTGCCCCCCTCCCCCAGCCTGTGCCCCCCCGCCTGTGCCCCTCAGCCTGTGCCCCCCCCGCCTGTGCCCCCTCCCCCGCCTGTGCCCCCCCCCGCCTGTGCCCCCCTCCCCCGCCTGTGCCCCCCTCCCCCGCCTGTGCCCCCCAGCCTGTGCCCCCCTCCCCCGCCTGTGCCCCCCAGCCTGTGCCCCCCTCCCCCGCCTGTGCCCCCCAGCCTGTGCCCCCCAGCCTGTGCCCCCCCAGCCTGTGCCCCCAGCCTGTGCCCCCCAGCCTGTGCCCCCTCCCCCGCCTGTGCCCCCCCAGCCTGGGCAGGGCGGGGACTGTGAGCCCCGAGTCAGGGTGCGGGCAGGGATGGAGTGGGCAGGGGCGGGTGGGGGGCGCCCCGGAACGGCCGGGCCGCGGGAAGCACAGGCAGAGGCACCCGCCGAGCGTCCCGCCCGACGGGGGAGGCAGGAACGGGGTGGCCTCGCTCCCCCCATCTGCGGCCATCGGGGCCCCGGGGCTGGCCTGGCTTCCGGGGGTTCTGAGAGGTCTCGGGGCGCGGGCGCGCCGGGTCCCCTCGGGGAGCTGTGGCCGTGGCGGATCCAAGCCGCGCGGCCCGGCCCCGCCCCGCCCCGCGCCCCGCCCCGCCCGCCCCGCGCCCCGCCCCGCGCCCCGCCCCGCGCCCCGCCCCGCCCGCCCCGCGCCCCGCCCCGCGCCGCCCGCCGCGGCCGCAGCCGGGTCTCATTAGCGCCCATCCCCCGCCCGCGCCGCGTGCCGGGGGGTCCCGCGGCCGGCGGGGGCGGGAGGGGGGCTTCTAATCAGTCCCAGGCCGGAAATTATCCCGAGGGCCCCGCCGTCGAGCCCGCCCCCCGCATCATGGAAACTGGAGGTCCGCCCGGCCCCGCCGCGCACCCGCGTTCCCGCCCCGGGGCGGCGGGCCCCGGAGCCGGGGCAGCCGGCGGGTCCTGCCCGGCTGCTGCAGCCGCCGAGGGCTCGGGGCGCCCGGGTCGGCTCTGCGGGGTGCGGGGTGCCCCTCGCCCCGCGCGGATGAGGCGGCGGGGTTGGGGCTGCGGAAAGGCCGAGGGGTCCGGGGAGAGCGGGGGGCCGGGGGCCGGCGGGCGCGGAGTGCGGGTCCACCGTCTTCAGGCTGGGGCCGCGGGTCGGGTAGCGGACTCCTGGGCTCGGGGTCCGTTTCCAGCCCGGGGGGGGCGCCCTCCCAAGTCGGGGCGCAGCATGTGCGCTGGGGCGGGCGGCGGGGGCGCAGGGCTCGGGCTCGGGCCCTCGGGGGGCGCCCGGGGCGCGCACGGCGCTCACCTGCGGCCCAGGGGCCCGAGCGGCCGCGGCTGGCGGCGCCCCGCGGGGTTCCGGGGGGTCTCGGGGGCTCCCGGGGGCGGGGCCGGGGCGGGGCCGGGGCGGGGCTCCGCGGAGACCCAGGCGGCCCCGGAACCGCCGCGCGCGGACTCGGACCCCGACCTGGCCGGGCACGGAGGCGTCAGGTGAGCAGAACTGGGGGCTGTGCCGCCCCCCCAAACACCACTTTCGCTAACTTTCTGCCTGGCTCCTCCCCTGGGATGGGCCTGGGGGCGGGAGCCCGGCCTTCCCTTTCCCCTAGGCCCGAGAGGGGGCGCGGGCGCCGGCGGGACCCCGGCGAACAGGGCGCTCGGCTGCCGGAGCAACTTCTCGGGATCTGGGCACGGGCGGGGCCGCCGCGTTCCCGCGTTCCCGGCCGGGTTCCGGGGTTCCCCGCAGCGTGCCCCGCGCCCTCGAGTCCGGAGCCTCGGAACCGGACCTCACGTCAGTGCTCGGCACGCGTTCGGCTCCAGCGGCCGCCACGAAGTTGGCAGTGGGGCCCCAGCCTCGGCGTGCGGCGGGGGCGGGGGCCGCTTTTCTAGTTCCGAGCTGGGGATGGGGTTCCATACTCGGGGACAATGGGGAACCAGGCCTGGCTGCTCCCGATCGCGCCTGCGGCTGTGCCCAGAAGTGCCGGGACCCCGGCCGGCTGCCCCGCGCCGCTCGGGGCTGCGGGTTCCACGGGTGGAAACCAGGTTTGGGGCGGGGGAGCCGCTGCTCCGCGTTAGGCCGGACCTGGCGCTGCCGTCCGAGGCCGGCCCGGGCGGCCCGCCGGGCGCTGCGGGCCGGGGTGGGCGCGAAGGCCTCTCCGCGCGCTCGGGCCCCGGCTCCCCGCGCTCGGTCGCTCACTGACCAGACTGGGGAGCGAGGGCGCCCCGCTGCACAGCGAGGCCCGCGTCCTGCCTTTCGTGGGGGGCCATAAACGCACAGTCCGGCCGCCCTTGCCCCAGCTGGCCGGGAAGGGACCGAGCCGCGAGCCCCGGACCCCGGGGCCGCAGGGGCGGTGCTGCTGGGGCCGGGACGAGGTCCACTGAGGCCTCGGGCGGAGGAGGCTGGAAAAAGAGGCCAGGCGGCGGGAAAAGGGGGGGATGATTCATCCAGGAGCCCGAATCGGAAACGCCGCAATCTGGGAACAGCCGTGCCTGGGCCGACGGGAGAGCCGGGAGGGGAGTCCGTCCGTCCGGCGAGGCCCCTTCACCGGGCTCCGGCCTCCGGCCGGGCCGCTGGGGGGTGGGGGGGTGGGGAGGCCTCCTCGGGCGGAGTGGAAGGAATCTGGACCAAGACCGCGTCCGCCTCCTCGCCTCTGACTGGCTGGTCTGGGTCGGAGCGGTCTTCCCGGAGTCTAGCTCGAGTCTCTTCTGCTGCAGCTCCAGTGCTGACTGAGGAAGTCTGGAAGGAGGGGGCGGGCAAGGCGAGGCCGGAGTCAGTGACACCCCCTCCTTCCCACGCTGCGGTATGTAAGGCGCGGGGAGGGCGGCGCGAGCGACCCCGGCGGCCCCGTGCGCGCCGGGCGCCCCCACCCCCCCTTCTCCGTTACTACGGTGCGGCCACGTGCGGGGGTGGGGTCGAGCCCGGGCGGTACTTACCGGCGAGACGCGGCCGCCGGGGCCCACGCTTCCCGCGGCGGAGCCCCGCGGGCCTGGGGGAGAGGGCGCCGGCGGCCGGAGCCCCGCAGCCCGGGCTGCGCCAGGGAGCGGCCCGCAGCCCCCTCCCTGCTCCCCGCGCGCGGGCCCGGCCAACTCCGGCTTCTGGCGCCGAGCTCCGCTGCGGAAAACCCGGGCGGGGGCGGCTCAGGGCCCCGCAGCCCGGGAGAATCCGGGGGTGGCCGCCAGGGATCTCCAAGCGGCCGGGGCGAGGCGGCCCCAGCTTCCCCCCTCCCCCGATTTGGGCCCCGAGCCTGGAGCTCCCCCCCCCCCCAGGTCCGTCGGGTCAGTCCCCGCCTTCCGTCTTCTCTCCGCAGAGCGCCCGGACGACAGGGAGATGACGGCCGGGAGCCCCGGAGACTGCGTGGAGGTGCGGAGGAGCCCCGAGGGCCGCGTCTCCCGCCTGGGCCGCCGCCTGGGCCGGCGCCGGCGCCCGCGCTCCCCGCCGGAGCCGCTGCGGGTGCGGGCGAGGCTGCGGCTGCGCTCGCCGTCGGGGGCGTTCGCGGCTCTGGGGGCGCTCGTGGTCCTGGTGGGCATGGGCATCGCCGTGGCCGGCTACTGGCCGCACCGCGCGGGGGCCCCGGGGCCCCGGGCCGCCAACGCCAGCTCACCCCGGGTCAGCGAGCTGCGACGCGAGGGTCGCGGGGCGGGCCGCGCCCACGGGCCGCACGAGCGGCTGCGGCTGCTGGGGCCGGTGATTATGGGCGTCGGCCTGTTCGTGTTCATCTGCGCCAACACGCTTCTGTATGAGAACCGAGACCTGGAGACCAGGCGGCTCCGCCAGGGGGTGCTGCGGGCTCAGGCCCTGCGGCCCCCCGACGGCCCGGGCCGGGACCTCCTCCCCAGCCCCGGGCCCAGGACTGCCGGAGCCCTGGGCTGCGCAGAGCCAGAAAGTTGGGACCTGTCCCCGCATCGGGGCCCCTCGCCCGTCCCGTCAGTGCGGAGTCTGCGTTCAGAGCCTGCTAATCCTCGCTTGGGGTTACCTGCCCTGCTCAACAGCTACCCGCTGAAGGGCCCGGGGCTGCCCCCACCGTGGGGTCCACGAACCCAGCCTGGCCACGTGATCATCACAGTGCAGCCCTCTGGTTCCTGTATTGAACATTCCAAGTCTCTGGACCTGGGACTTGGGGAGCTCCTCCTGGGGGCCCCAGCCACTCGGGACTGTGCTCACCGAAGCTGGCCACGGCTGGACCGCCTCAGCCTGGGGGGGTATGCCAAATTGGGAGGAGGAGAGTTGGGGGCCCGGGTCTGAGAAGCAGGGAAACACCTGCTATGAGGCAGCACCATGGGCCGTGGTTAACAGGACCGGAGGACCGGTGGTCCCATGTCTAGTAGTAGCTGCTTCTGTCACATCCCAGGTCAGGATGGATGCCCTGACTCCCGCAGCCACTAAGGCCTCCTGACCCATACGTGGGCAGAAAAATGCCGGCTGCACTGGGCTCAATGAGCGGGCCAGGCGTGTTTTAATGTGCAGTGCGGAGACCAGCATGACTCGGCCTCAGGATTGTCTTCTGCCTCTACCTGTGGCCTTACCCCCGGATAGGTACCTGAGGGGGGTGGAGGTCCAGGCCAAGGTGATCAGGAGATGCATGGGGTTTGTTTAAGTGGGGGGCAAGGACCCTTAAGACTTGGAAGGTAGGTTGGGAGGTTTCATCTGCACTGGTGATGGAATCTGGGCCTCTGGGAAGATGGTGTGAAGCTGAGAAACTCCCACTGCCACCTGGGGTGGGGAGTGAGCCTTTGACTCCCACCACCTAAGACTCTTTCTTCCCTTGGCCCTGGGGGGCTCTAACCCAGGAGGGTCATTACTGCCACTGCCTTGCCCTGAGGTCTGGCCCTTCCTTCATCGTAGCCTATGCTACAACAGCACCCTCCTGTTTTGACAGACAGCACTGACCAGTTCTCACAAGGCCCCTTCTACAATCCTGATGCTGTACTTTGGCCAGTGTGGGTAGCTCAGACTACGCCTTCCGTTTAAGTCTCTCCCACGCAGGTTTAATTTTCCCCATGCTACTGAAGGAAGAGAAATGGAAAAGTGGATCAGTCCTTATAGGCATTTTTTTTGAAGTTTATTGAAAAATGCAATACAAGAAGCAAGACCAAACACAGATCTCAACACTACAACCACCCCCCTCACTACAAAAGGCCGAAACAGCAGACCTAAATTGTTGCCTATTTAATCTAAGGGTTCTTGCCAATGTAATTCTGCTGCCATAGTTCTATTTTGTCAAGAAATGTAAACAACTACTTGATATATGATTCATAATTTTTTTAAAAAATTTACAAAGCTCCTTCATTTTTGTCACCAAAATAATACATTTGAGAGATTTTAAAAACAGGTAGCCTGCACCTGGCATCCTGAACAGAGTTCCTGTGAGTGTCAAGGATGGTGGGCTCCACTTCCCAAGGTGGTCTCCTCAGTCCCCCCAGGAATACACAGCGCTGGCCTGGGAGGGGGTGGGGCAGGTGTTCTGACAGGGCCCTGCAGGTAGGCTCCCTGGGCTTATGAGGACAGGTCTTGCTTTGTGGGTAGGTGGCAGAGATCTCATGAAGTTTGAAGGAAACCTTTACTTCTGAAGTAAAAATAAAATTGCAGCGAGATTTGTTACTGTGGTGTGTCTGAGTCACTTTAGGAAAACTGCTGCCAGGCTTCTGACCCTGGAAATCTTAATCCCCTCCCCCTTCACCATTTCTACCTGGACAGAGTTGGTTCATACACGCATACACACACACACAAACTGCAGAGTGAAAAAAATCCAAACAATTGCCAAACCTTGAGATCTGTTGCCAGAGAAGGAGGAAGGGGGAAGAGGCCTGGAAGGATGCTAGAGTTCTTTGGGTCCAGAGACAAAGGCTGCAGAGAGGAGGAGTGAGTGGAGTAAGAGCTGAGGAAAGTTCAAGCCCTCAGATCTGAGGTGGAGGTCCTGTGCTGTTAGAACTGCTGCACTGAGCTGGATCACGCACCATATTTGGGGTAGTGGACCCTTGTCTCCCCCCCCCATCTTCTCTATCCCAGATTTCAGCTCTATGAGCTGGGAAGGAAATGCTCCTTCCACAGAAGGTCTGGCCTTGGAGAAGCCAGCAAAGTCAGCTAAGCTTGACTGATAAGAGGGGGAGTTCTAACATGCCACCACTTCAAGCTCCACCACAGCCTGTAAGTTCATTCCTGAGAGAGGACAGCCTCCTTCCCTCATGTCTGTCACATGTCCCACCATGCCCCCCCCCCCCCCCCGCCTTAGAGAGCTGCGTGTCGGCAGTCACAGTCCATGTGAGAACGAAAGGGAAAACACACAAAAAAATCAAATCGCTCAGTTCACCTAAACAGAAGTCAATTAGTAAGGGCTGTGGTGTCCTGCCACTGGCTACTGACTTCTCTTGTTCACTGCCCTTGGGCCCCCCAGTGACTGCTGTCATTGACACACTGTCTAATCTCATGATGCTCCTTTCTAGCCTAGAATCTGGATTCCAAGATGCTTCCAGGCAGGTCTGTTTGGGGGAGGAAGCAAGCTGGACTAGAGAAGCCTGTTTGACTTTTTTTAATACTCCCAAATCCTTAGTAGGAATCAGGGGCACCAGACCTCATTTTCAAAATGAAGCCAGAGAGAGAGAAAAGAATAATAAAAACTAAATTGGAAGCCTTCTAGGAAAGCAAGCCTACATAATTTGATAGACCTCAGGCAGTGAATGGGAATGAGTAGGGGGCTTTGTACCCCTGTCTCGTGGTGTCCTGTGGGAGTGGCCACCAAAAGCCAATACTTTGCTTACTGAAGGGTCTCCTTAGGCAGGTGCTTGTAGAGAGCAGGAAGGTCAAAGACCATGACTCTCCGAGTGCTCCTTGGTGGAAGTGCTCCTTAGCTGGAGCTGAAGTAAATGCCACCGCTCCTTCGAGTGAGGTGCACACTCCCAGAACTAGACCTTATTTAAAAAACCTCATTAACTTTCCTTTGCCAAACCACCACTGAAAATGTTCCACTAGAACATAGCTAAAAAAAAAAAAAGGTCTGTTTTTCCATGTGTTTTAGTCTCCTTGGCTAGGTGCTTGGGGTACTGGGCAAAACCATGGCTTCTGGTAAGGTGTGAGGGCGGGGGGAAGTGAAGGCCACAGATACTTGTTCAAACATTCACAGTATCAGATACATCTGAAGCAACTTCCTACATCTCTGACCTAAGGAAGCTCCAAAGTAGAGAGAAGGAGAGAGGGAAGGCAACCAACACTACATTCTCAGCAGAGGCCCGCCTCATCAGACACCCTCACCAAGGGAGAAGACATTTATCTGCTTAACATGCTGGTGACATTATATGGTTGGCTTTGAGAAAGAGCTGGTTCATGAAGTTTCTGCTGTCATCCGAAGGGTAAAATTTGGGGTAGAGGGGCATCCCAGGGAATTGACTTTGGCCTCCAACATAGTTGACAGAGTCTCTGAAGGATGTCCTGAAATCTGTAGACCCTTTCAGTACCTGGGTTGAGGATCAGTGAGGAGAGCCTAGGTTGAATGGGTTACAAATTATCCCATTAAAAAAACCCAAAAAACTCTTCAAAAACGGTTCATAGAATGAAAAGTGGAACAATTTCTGGTATCACAATATAGAAAAAGATCTTGAAAAGGATCAATGATATCTAGAAGAATCTCGATATAAATTCCAAATAGAAAACAAAGTAAATTTTCTGGTGGTCTAGAATGATCTTGAAAGTCTGGAGTCTGACTTGCAGGCTGGCTTCTTTAGCATTTCGCTGGTTTGTCTTGGGCATAGGGAGGGCAGGGAGTTGGGGTAGGATAGTTCCTAGGGGAAAGAAAAAAAAGCACATTTTAAAATCTCGCAAAGAAGCCAGCTTCCTGCTGCTACTGCCAACTCTTGGTGGCCATAAGTGACAATTAGAACTAAATACTGGGCTGATGTCTGTAATCCTAGCTACTCAGGAGGCTGAGATCTGCAGATTGCTGTTCAGAGCCAGCCCAGGCAGGAAAGCCCATGAGACTCTTTATCTCCAATTAACCAACTGAAAACCAGAAATGGAGCTGTGGCTCAAAATAGCAGAGCACTAGTCTTGAGCAAAAAAGCTCAGGGACTGTGCCCAGGTCCTAAATTCAAGCCCCATGTCTGACAAAAAAGAAAAAGAAGTGAATACTAGGCCAGTCCTTCCTGATGACTCTTCAGGTCTACGCATGAATTTACCTGGATGCCCCAAAGCAGTTTTCTGCTTCCAATGTTCTGGTCTGGTCCCAGCGCTTTAGCCACTTTCCCAGAGCCTTCCCAGTCCTCACCCTTCTAGAAGCCTTGGTCTTGCAGGCTCAGAGATTCCAGAGATACAGAGTACCCCAGCAGCAGAGAGAGGGCAGGGAAAGGTGAATGAAGTACAGGAAGATTCCAGAGGTGGGTGAGGTTTATATCCTCACTGCAGGTACATTAAGGCAGGAAGACACAAATGATCTGGCTGTTTTGATTAGAGCCAAATACTTTAAAAAATTAATACAAAGATATGTATTAGATTTTATGAAGATACAAGATGAATTGACTACAGCTCCAGCCTTCAGATTGTGTATATGTATCTATATATTTGTGTGTGTGCGTGTGAGAGAGAGAGAGAAAGAGAGAGAGAGAGAGAGAGAAAGAAAGAGAGAGAGAGAGTGTGTCTGTGCTCAGGGCCTTGAAATTTTTTTACTTAAGGCTGACATTGAGCCACAAACTCTAGCCCTGACTTTTTGTTGATTAATTGGAGATGAGAGGCTCTTGAATTTGTCGAGTCTGGTTTCAAACCTCAGTCCTCAGATCTCAGACTCCTGAGTAGCTGGGATTACAGGTGTGAGCCACCAGTGCTCAGACCAGATATTTTAAAGTTATGATTATTATCATCTTCAAGGAGCCAGATGCTTAATATTCTCTGCCTTACTTTATCAAGTTCCAGTGTTGTCACCTAGTGGTACCTCAAGTTCCAGCTGTGACTCGCTCAGGCTGAGGCATCTCCTACCTGAGCTCATTCCTCAGAGATCTCAGTCTCCTGATGGACGACCACCTTGGTCACTGACATGTCCGGATGCTGCTCCTTTGCTTCCTTGATAGCTTGTACAAGGACCTGTGAACAAGAAATAGAGCCCATTGTGCACAAAGCAGCCTGGCTAGTGAAGGAAGGCACTCATCATTTCTGACAACGTACCAGGACACATTGCACTTAGGCTAGAGGAAGCTGATCATTACCCTGCCCCTCCACCATCCTGCATAGTAGAGGCTCCTGGGCCAATGACACACAGGCAGGGAAGGATAGAGCTTTCCTTCAAGGAGTTGGACAGGGACTTCAGAAGTTCAGTGAAGGCTTACTGTGTGCCACACCCTGGTCTAAGCATATCATTCATCATTTATTTAATCCTCACAACATGTTTTCCCTCCTTCCTTACAGAGGAGTAAACTGCAGGTTAATTAAGTGCTTGTCGTCTCATAGCTAGTACATAACTTTGCTCTTTACCACACTGTCTGGTAGGTTCCCAGGGGGGCCTGTTGAATGTTGGAGGAGTTTGGGCATGGGAGGAAGGCTAAGATCACACAGAGAAGGTCAAAGGAAGCCAGTGGTACCACTTGCCCAGCTGTTAGCATTGCCTGCAGTCTCCTTCCCCCCACCCAAGAATAGAGGACTGGCTGGAATTCCCCAGCTGCCTGCTCACTCTGGATCCTGAAAATCATCTCTAGGAGGGACAAGAGAAGAGGAAAACTCTTCTGTCCTCTCAGCTTCATGAAAGGTATTCTTGGACTTGCCACCTATAGATCCAGGCTCCTCCTCCCTGAGCCTGTTTTTCTAACCCATTTACTCCCACTTCTCACCCAGCTCAAGCGCTCCCTGGCACCTCTGCCTCTTCCTCTCTAAGAAGGCCCACATGCACCTCACTGCTTTCCTTAGGAGGCCTTCCTAAAGTGCAGCTCTCCTCAACCAGAGAGCACTACTCCCCATGCTTCTTGGACACATCACTCCAGATAAAACCTGTGATGGTATTTACGTGACAAGGGTGAAACTAGGGCTCACAGAAGTTACTGGGGCACACCGGTGAAGCTGCCTGCAAACCACAAGCACCCGTATCCACAGCTCTGCTGTGTAGTGAGGACTGAGCACTCAGCATGGGCTCAGGCCATACCTGAAGGAGGCTAGGAGGCTGTGGGCCGCCCCCTTGGGCTCTGCATCCTTGTTTCTGAGACCCCAATCCCAGTACTCCCAGCTCTAAGACTCAGCCTGCTGCCAAGGGAACTGCCAGCATTGCAGCTCAGCTTTCCTTCCTTGCAGGCAGGCAGCTCATCAGCATAAAGGCCCAGAGTTATAGCTCTGGCAGTCCTGTCAGTGATTCCAGAGGCATTTGCATAGTCTCCTCCACCCCCTCTTCTCTGCAGCTTTGCTGGTCTAACCTCGCCCAGCGGAGAATAGGGAACAGTAATCCTGACCTTATTATTTGATAATTGCTTGTAGCAAACAATTAGCACCCAATTATCATAAAAATATAGAACTTTTAACACCCAGAAGGGCCCAGGAATTATTTGGATTCATCCACTCTCTTTCAGGAGAAGAAAACTACCAGAGATAAGGTGATTTGCCTAAGGTAGCACAGGAAGTTAGGTGAAAGAGAACAAGTCTGAGGACAGGGGCTGGGCTGGTGTGTTGGCCACCATCCTGTGTGCCACCCCCCCCCTTCCCCGGCCCACAGTCTCAACAGCACTCCCTAGTTCTCTGGTATCATTTAGCCTCTGGCAAGGGTACTATTACTCCCTCTATTCAGAGCCTACCACATGCCTGTCACTCAGGACACATCCAATTATCTCAGGATCTGAACAGTAACCGAGAGGAGGGCACAAACTATAACCCCCAGTTTATAGCTGAAAAAGCAGCATCTTTATTGAGTTAAGAACCAGTATTTGACCTCAGATCTTTGAGTCCGAAGCCACTGCTCTTCTCACTACACTCCTAGCTTCTCCATCTGCAGAGCTTCTCCCCACCCCCAGGTCCATGGGGCTTGAGTCTCTTTGTTTCAAGGGCTAGAGTAGCAGCGATGAAGCAGTCAGCAGTATCTTTTGGGATGTGACATCACTGCACCCATCAATCTTCCACCCTCCCATCCTGACTTTCCTCAGCATTCCTACCTGGTCATGGTCAATATCGCCATCTCCTGTGATCACAATTCTCTTTTCAATCCGGGTCTCTGAAATCCCACCTTTTACGGTCTGTAACCAAAAGTAGGTGGCCATATGAGATCAGAAATAAAGCAAGAGAAAAACACCAAAACGGGGGTTGGGGGGGGAGGGGGGTGGGGAGGATTGGGTGGGGGGGCGAGGGGAGGATGGGAAGGGGAAACAAAGGAGGAGGCTACAATGATAAGAAATGTACTCATTATCTTGCCCATGTAATTGTAACTCCTCTGTACAGTATTTTTCACAATAAAAAAATACCAAAACAACAAACACAGATTATTATGTACAGTTGATTTTTAAAAATCATTTTTACAGCTGGGCACCAGTGGCTTATGACTGCAGTCTTAGCTACTCAGGAGGCTGAGACCTTGGATCATGGTTCAAAGTCAGCCCAGGTAGAAACGTCTATGAGACTCTTATCGCCAACTAGCAACCAAAAAGCTAGAAGTATATCTGTGGCTCAAGTGGTAAAGCACTAGTCTTGAGCAAAAACCACCACCACCAACACCAACAAAAAAAAACCCTTTGGGACAGTGTTGTCCAGGTCCTGAATTCAAACTGCAGTACTGCACACAAAAAAATTATTTTTGAAGACTGCCCCCAGGGCCTGTTGCACGCTATGCAATCATTCTACAACTAAGCTATACTTCTACTACTAATTATTCTTTTTTTTTTTTTTTTGTCGGTCATGGGGCTTAAACTCTGGGCCTGGGCGCTGTCCCTCAGCTCTTCAGCTCAAGGCGAGCGCTCTACCACTTGAGCTACAGCGCCACTTCTGGTTTTTCTGGTGGTTTATTGGAGATAGGAGTCTCACGGTCTTTCCTGCCCGGGCTGGCTTTGAACCGCGATCCTCAGATCTCAGCCTCCTGAGTAGCTAGGATTACAGGCGTGAGCCACCAGCGCCCGGCTTCTACTACTAATTATTCTGAAAGCTATACTCCAGATATTTTTTGGGGGAGATGGATTTGTTGCTGAGGTCTGATCTATAGACTTGTGTAGGCAAGCAAGTACTTCACCACAGAAATGTATCCTCAGCTATTTTAAACTTCTTTGAGAAAGGGTCTAAGTTGCCCAGGCTAGACTTGAATTTACTTTTCTTTTGTGTGTATGATGTTATTGGGACTTGAACACAGAGCTTTGAGCTCTTGCTTGGCTTTTCTGCTCAAAGCTGATATTCTACCACTTAAACCACAGCTCCACTTCTAGCTTTTTGCTGGTTAATTGGAGAAAAGAGTCTCACAGACTTTTCTGCATGGCCTGGACCTGGCTTTGGCTGACGATCCTCAGCTTTTTCCCTCAAGCTACCACTTGAGCTATAGCCCTAATTTTGGCTTTTTGCTGGTTAACCGTAGATAAGAATAACACAGATTTTTTTTCTCCCAATTGGCTTCAAACCATGATTCCTCAGTTCTCAGTCTCCTGAGTATCATGGAAGCCATGCATAGGTAGCTCATGAGATCTGAGGATTGCAGTTTGAAGCCAGCCTGGGCAGGAAAGGCCATGAGACTCTTCTCTCCACTAAAAACTACCAAAAGAGCTGGAAGTAGAACTGTAGTTGAAGTGGTAGAATGCTAGCCTTGAACAGAAAAAGCTGAAACAGTGCCTAGGCCCAGTTCAAGCAACAGAACCAGAAAAAAAAAAAAAGAAGACTTTCACAGACTTTCCTCCGTGGGCTGGCTTCGTATTGAAATACTCAGACTTCTGAGTAGCTAAGATTACAAGAGAAAAACTCTGCTTATGGATGGAAGTCCTTCCTTCCCAGGGGTGGTTGCAAGCTCTTTATGTCACTGAGTTCCTTAAAGAAGTTCTGTTACCTTGGTAATCTGAGTTGTGGTGGTACTGCTTGTGGTCTCAGATGTGATGGTCTGAGCTGTCAGCAAGACTCCTGGGTCCAAGTCACCATTGCTGTCATCAGTCTGTAGAAGAAAGCACAGCTAACTCATCACCATACCTCTCAGAAGGCCTTTGGGCAAGTGCTACAGACTGCAGCTTGGCTCTTACATATACATTCTAATGCCAAGATCCAATTCCCCATCAGTGACCTCTTAATTAATAAATACTGTAAATCCTTGGGAACAAGGTTCCTTCTAAGAGGTGGATGGGTAAGATTCCTTGTACTGGGTCAGTGAAGAATGAAAAGAAAGAAGAGGCAGGAATGTAGCCACACATTCAACAGTGACATGTTGTAAGTGTACATGTCTACAGCAGTTTATAGATTAAAATGGCTTTTAAAACAACTATTCTATCTATCTATCTATCTGTCTGTCTGTCTGTCTGTCTGTCTGTCTGTCTGTCTGTCTGTCTGTCTGTCTATCTATCTATCTACCTACGTACTGCTCTATCTAGGTGCTGGTGCCAGAACTTGAATTCAGAGCCTCTTTGTCACTTAGCTTTTTTTGCTCATAGCTGGTACTCTTCCACTTGAGCCATGACTTCAGTTGCAGCTTTTTGCTGATTAATTGGAGATAAGAGTCTTGAGGATTTGCCTCTGCCCAGGCTGGCTCTGAACCTCAACCCTTCAGCCTCTCAAGTAGCTAGGATTATAGCTATGAGTCACAGGCGCCTGGCCAAGATTAATATTTTAATTACCATCAATTACTTGTGCAAGGAGGTTTCACTTTGCCATGTTCCTATATGCACACAACATCGCTGGATCAGATTCACTCCTTCCATCAGTCTCTCTCATCCCTCATCCTCCTTTCCCACACCAATCTCAACAACACCCAGTGTTTTCACCACATCCACCCTTTCCTAGTCCCCCCACCATAGACATGATCTATTTTATATTCCTGATCTTCAACACTAATATTTTCTTTAGCCAAGACCACTTATCTACCTTAGATTCAGACCCTACTAATAACTCTCATACTCCTACTGTATGTCAAGTTTTCCATGCAGCTGATATCTCTTCTCTGTCTCTCAAAATTTGAGACAGGAGCTAGTATTATATTCACTGTACAATTAGGAAAACAGATCCTGGGAGGTTAAATAATTTGTCCAAGGTTCTATATTAGTAGGTATTTGAACTAGGTCACAGACAAGGCCAAGAAACTTCTTATTTGAAACTGGATTTGAGTCCCAGTTCAGACAATAACTTGCTGCGGGACCTTGTTTTTCTAAATTCTAAAAGTGAATACTATAATATGTGCTTGGCCTATACAAATAGCCCTGCCATGAAGATTAAAAGAAATTACAGAAATAAAAGTATTTTAGAAACTACTGAAAGAATGTACAATTGCATGCCAGAGAAATAAACTTTACAAACTGCTATAAGAATATACAATTACACGCCAGGAGGGCAAATTCTTCTTCCAGAGTTTCTATTCTATAAACACTTGACTTCCTTGCCTCCTATCCCTACTTGTCTCCCACCCCTCTGTATTTGAAGAAGATGAAAAGTGGAAGAGATTGGTTTCCAGTCTTCTACTCTCCCAGTGGGATCTCTTTTTCCTTGATCAACCTACCAATGTCTCCTTAACTGCTTATAAACATCCATTCATCCTCAAACCTAGCAATTTCATTCTTAGATGGTTTTCAAAATAAGTAAAATGCCCACAAAAAACTTGTGCATGAATGTTAACAGCAGCTTTATTCATATTTGCTCCAAACTGGAATGAACTCAACTGTCAATCAAGAAGTGAAAAAAAGGGGCCTGGGAAGGTGGCTCAGTGGTAGAGTGCTTGCCTCACATGCATGAGGCCCTAGGTTCGATTCCTTAGCACCACATAAGCAGAAAAAGCTGGAAGTGGTGCTGTAGCTCAAGTGGTAGAGCGCTAGCCTTGAGCTGAAGAGCTGAGGGACAGCTCCCAGGCCCAGAGTTCAGGCCCCACGACCGACCAAAAAAAAAAAGTGGGGGGGGGGGGGCTGGGAAGGTGGCTCAGTGGTAGAGAGCTTGCCTCGCATGCATGAGGCCCTGGGTTTGATTCCTCAGCACCACATAAGCAAAAACAAAAAAGCCGGAAGTGGCACTGTGACTCAAGTGGTAGAACACTAGCCTTGAGCTGAGGAGCTGAGGGACAGCAACCAGGCCCAGAGTTCAGGCCCAACGACCGGACCCCCCCCCCCCAAAAAAAAAAAAAGAAGCTAAAATAACATGTGCCAGTGGCTCACACATTATTCTAGCCATTCAGAAGGCTGAGATCTGAAGGTCATGGTTTGAAGCCAGCCCAGGGAGGAAGGTCCATGAAAATGCTTATCATCAATTAACCACTAACATCTAGAATTGGAGCTGTGGCTCAAGTGGTAGAATGCTAGCTTTGATCAAAAAAGCTCAGGGACAGTGCATAGGCCCTGAGTTCAAGCCCTAGTACTGGCACGGGAGAAAAAAAAAGGTGATTAAAAAATATGGCATACTATTCATCAACAGAGAAGAGTGAACTATTGATTTATAGAGTGTGGATGAATTTACAAAGTGTTCAGTTGAAACTGTTGAAATTGTTTTAAGAAGGAAGAATGAGCCGGGCGCTGGTGGCTCACGCCTGTAATCCTAGCTACTCAGGAGGCTGAGATCTGAGGATCGTGGTTCAAAGCCAGCCCGGGCAGGAGAGACTGTGAGACTCCTATCTCCAATAAACCACCAGAAAACCAGAAGTGGTGCTGTAGCTCAAGTGGTAGAGCGCTCGCCTTGAGCTGAAGAGCTGAGGGACAGTGCCCAGGCCCAGAGTTCAAGCCCCACGACCGACAAAAAAAAAAGAAGAAGAAGGAAGAATGGGATGAGGGAGAATGTTAGAGGGGGTGAGGTTGATCACAATACATTGTGTCAACAGTGAAATCTCCCTTGTACAACTAGTGTCTACTAATTTTTAAGAAGCATTGCATTCAGAGAAAGAAGCTGGACACCAAAGTATACTAATATATGTTCCCAATTATATGGCAACAAAACACAGGCAAAACTAGACTAGTGACAGAAATCAGGACAGTGCCTAGAGGGTTAGGGACCAAATGGTAAAACTATGATGCAAATTTCAGGAGAAATGTTGGGATCCCACATTATATTTTGGAGACACTAGTGTAGACAATTTGTCAAAACTGATCAAAGTGAACAATTCACTGTTAATTTTTACCACACACATGCACATGCGTGCATATACATACAAATGAAAAACTGATCCTAGTCCCCTCTCTTACCCTGTATCCCAAGGGGTAGAGATTGTGAACAATTCTTTTAATGGTATTTGGGCTTACTTGTCAGACAAGATATAAACAAAAGCAGAAACAGGTTAATTAAATAATAACAGCAAAGTAAATAAATAATACAAGGTGACAGACACCCATTACCCCACCACATGGAAGGTCGAGGATCATGAGTTTGAGGCTTATAATGGAGGCAAGCCTCAAACAGCTAGTTGAGGCCAGGCCTTCGCCACATAGCAAGACCCTGTCTCAAAAACAAAAACAAATACTAAATAAATATCTGGTGCTTACATGCCAGGTACTTTGGAAGCATGTGATGTTATTAATTTATTTCTTTTTTTTTTTTTTTTTCTTTTTTTTTTTTTTTTATTGTAAAGCTACTATACAGAGGGTCACAGTTACATGAGTGAGGTTATGAGTACACTTCCTCTTGAACATTGTTACCCCCTCCATTGTTTTCCCCCTACCATCCCCTCCCTCCCTCCCTTCCCCGAGGTTCTTTTTTTTTTTTTTTTTTTGATTGTGATTAAATGATTACATAATTTCAAAGTCACAAGTTCATTCTAACTTCCCTGGAGCAAATTGTCTACCACAGTCTGTAATATATAACAGTGTTCACATGTTATATACCATATTTGTGATCAGCAGCATGAGGATATTTAGTAGTGGTTCAACCAGATGAGCGGGAGTTCTTTGTTTCTTAAGTCCTGTTAGTTTTGTCGTATCACTAACCTTTTGGATTTAGCATCCACTTATGAGGGAGACCATGTACCGTTTGTCTCTTCGTTCTTGGCTTACCTCGCTCAACATGATTCCTTCTAGCTCCATCCATTTCCCTGCAAATGCCATTATTTTGTCATTTCTAATGGCTGCATAATATTCCATTGTGTATAGATACCACAATTTTTGGATCCATTCATCTGTGGTGGGGCACCTAGGTTGTTTCCATATCCTAGCTATTGCGAACAGTGCTGCAATAAACATGGAGGTGCACGTGTCCTTGTATATTGGTTCCTGTTGTTCAGGGTAGATGCCTAGAAGTGGTATGACTGGGTCGTAAGGGAGGTCAATCTTTAGCTTTCTAAGGACCCTCCAGACTGCTTTCCAAAGTGGTTGTATAAGTGTACATTCCCACCAGCAGTGTAATAGGGTTCCTCTTTCTCCACATCCCCTCCAGCATTTGTCGTTGGCTGATTTGTGGATGTGGGACATTCTGACTGGGGTAAGGTGGTATCTCAGGGTTGTCTTTATTTGCATTTCCTTCACCACCAGGGATGATGAACATTTCCTCATGTGTTTCTTTGCCATTTTTATTTCTTCATTTGAGAAGTCCCTCTTTAGTTCCCTTGCCCATTTAGTAATTGGTTTGTTAGGTTTGGGAGGGATTAGTTTCTTGAGTTCCCTGTATATACAGGATGTTAACCCCTTGTCTGATATATTGCTGGTAAATATTTTTTCCCAATTAGTTGGTTGTCTTTCTAGCTTAGTTGCGATAGATTTAGCTGTGCAGAAGCTTTTTATTTTAAGGTAGTCCCATTTGTCGAGTCTCTCTCCAACTTGTTGTGACCCTGGGACTCTGTTCAGGAAGTTCCTTCCTGTGCCTATTAGTTCAAGTGTCTCTCCTACTCTGTCCTGCAGTAGTTTCAGAGATTCAGGTTTAATGTTAAGGTCTTTAATCCATTTTGAGTTGATGTTGGTGCATGGTGATAGGCTGGGGTCCACTTTTAGTTTTCTGCATGTGGCTGCCCAGTTTTCCCAGCACCAGCGGTTGAAGAGGCTGTGT